CCCCCCCACCCACCGACGTACGCTATGTTAACAACAACGAGAAAGAAAGATAAAGAGAAAGGTAGATAGATAGATAGATGGAAACATATTTTTTCGTTGATTCATCTCGTACTCGAGAATTGAAATGCAGTCGGCGAGGCGCAATTATACGGTAGGCAGAGGTAATTAGAATAATTCCCTTTGTATCTATTTACCAGAGACCCTTCAATAATGCCGTTGCTGCTGCTTGGTAGAATTCACCGAAAACTACGCTGACTACTTTTTTTTTCCTTATAAACGCAATTACACGAGAATACGTTTCACCGCATTCTTTTCCCCGTTTTTCTCATCTTTTTTGTTTCTTTTTTCTCTATGTTTTTTTTTTTTATTTGTTTCTTTTTTTTCCTTTCGTTTTTCTTCCTTCTTTTCTTTTCTTTTCTTTTTTCTTGTTTCTTGTTTCTCTTTTGTTTCTTTTTCTTCTTTTTTGTTTCTCTCTTTCTTTTTTTTTTTTTCTTCTTTCCATCGTTAACAAAAATTTCGTATTAATTAGAACGGACTTTATGAAAATGAACGACACGAGGATTGCACGTGTCCTTTGATGCTATTCTCTCGTTTTGTAACTGTATAAATTATTTTTATGTATACAAAGAGAAATAGAAAATAAAAGAATAAATTTTTTAAAAAGGGGCGGGGGATGGGCGGAGGAGGAGGGGGGGGGAGGGGGTTATATTATGACGATGATACGTTACGGTCGAAAATAATAGTAATTAGTATATGCGATTCGTGAAAAGAAAAAAAGAAAAAAAAATAATAACAGAAAGCATCTTTCCGGCTAGAGAATAAGATATATGTAAATAATTAATTATGATAATTAAGATTATATTATTCCAAGTGAGATAAGAGAAACGTAAAAAAAAAAAAACAAAAAAGCGAGAGAAAGAAAGAAAGTAAGTAAGCAAAGGAAAGTACAAAAAAAAAAAGAAAGAAAGGGACGGAAAATCTTGAGACAATTGTTTCGATTCTTCCTTAGAGAGAGAAACTCGTGGAATATAATAAATCCGTGGAGAACATTCTTTAGGGAATTTTCTGTTTACTCATTTCCTACAGTTATTGCCCGAAGTAACTCGGATTTTGTCGGATACTCAGATAATCATTTCAATTCTCTTTCTTTCCTGTCTCTTTCATTCGAATGAAAATCCCTTTGTGATACGTTTCTCTCTATCTTTCTCTCTCTCTCTCTCTCACACACACCCACGCACACATACACGCACACTTTTTCTTTCTATTTCTATCTTTTTCTATGTACCTTCTTTGCGAACCAGAATAAAAAGAAAACGCAAAGAAATTAAGTGAGAAAGAGAGAAAACAACCGGCCGCGTTTGAAAATAATCCGAATACGTCGTAATTATTTTGTTTGTTTGTTGTTTGTTTGTTTCGCAGGGATTTCCATGCACAAAGGATACGCCTTCGTGCAATTCACGAATCCCTTTGACGCACGCAGCGCCTGTCTCGGCGAAGATGGCCGTACCATTCTCAGCCAGATACTCGGTAAGTTATTGTATTATTCTACGAATGATAATTTAGCGGTATTACGTGCTAATTTCAACCTCCTCCCACTCTTATTTCTACTCCTCTTCCCCCTTTCCACCCTTCTACCCCTTCTACACCCACTCCACTTCTCGTCGTCCAACCACTTTTCGCGTGTTTCGCCGTCTGATACTCAAATGACGACGCTCGTTTATCTTTCCACGCTCGTATTTCTAACGAAATGAGTTATCAAGCCGACGCCGCCGAGTATTTATATATATTTTCAACGAGGAACCATTTCAAATGGATATTTTCCACGAGATACCACTAAATTTCATTAAATATCATAATAAACGTCCAGCAAACGATCTATTTATCACCATTGTATTATTATTATTGTTGGTTTTGATTGTTAATATATTAATGTTATTAAAATATAATATAATATAGAATTTGTTTGTGTGTAATGCTTGCAAAGATATATATATATTTTTGTATTAAGTAAAATGTAATATAATATGGTATGATATATATACGAAATTTATTATTTTTTTTTTCTAAAATAGGATAATATAAATTATTTTCTTTTTTATAATAATCTACTTTCCAATCAAAATTATATAACAATATGATATTGTTTAATTAGTCTATGCTTGCCTATCTAGCTGATTTGTTATACTAATCGAGTAGCGTCTACTTTAAATTTTGATAATACGGTTATTAATTAATCTTAAATAAACTTTAACAATAAACAAGATATCAATATTTATAACTAATGACAATTTTAAAGCTCGTTCGTTAACCTAAAATGGTCTAGAATTTTGTCAATTGTGAATTATCTTACAATAATATCATATATGTTTATAGGTTAACAAATTTTTCCAAGATGGAGTCTTCTCATTGTTTCGTATAGGTTATGTTGAAGTGACGAAAGCATGGATCAGTAAAATAAAAACAAAAATAATATATATTTGTATAAAAATTTAATATAATAAATATAATAAATAAAAATAAAATAAAAATAAAATACAAATTTTCTAAAGTAAATCGTAGGTTAAGTGGTTAAATAAATTTAAGAATCTAGTGTATTATAAAACTAAACAAGAACAGGTATTGCTAAATATTCTCGCAGAAATAAATCAATAACGTAACATGGAACTATTTAAAGAGGGAAAATTTTATGACTATCAGATAGCCTCTCCCTCTCTCTCTCTCTCTCTCTC